CCCTAATGCGTGGATGCTCTGGCCACCACCTAGGCTGATTTCCGAGGTGAAGCACGAAGGCTTCACCCTCCTCAGCCAGGAATCCACCTACATACGCGACAAGCAGACCTCCGCAGAGGGAGATGCCTGGTTGTTAGACTTCTATGAGGCCGAGGAGAGTCTGCTTAACCAGGGCTCTCGTCAACTCTGTTTGGACGTCCTAACCACCCTAGTGGAACGCCATCTAACCTCCAACTGCGCCAGCAGTGAAGAAGGCGGCCAACAACAGCATGTGGATGAATGCTATGGAGCAAAGCTGGGTGCCGAGAGTCCGCTCATCTATGACTACTACATAAAAACCTTGCTGTTGCATGAGTGTGAGAAACATCCGCATGAAGAGGACTGGACGGAGTTTACCATCCCTGACCGGATTAGTGGGATCTTACTGCAACTAATTTCCTGTCTGCAGCATCGTCACTGTCCGCATTACTTTCTGCCTCAATTGAACCTCTTTCGACGTCAGACGCCCTTGGCCATGGAGCTGGCAGCTCGAAGGGCCTGGAGCCTGCTACGAACATTAATTACCTGTCCGACGGCCTTTGAAAGACTCTGATGGCAAAAGGTTCCTCGAGTCCGCCGAACAATGCGAAAGACGGAGAAGGGCGGTGCTTTTCCACTGCATATGGCTCAGCAGACTGCGCGTGCAAAGTCGCAGGAGCATGCAAACAATAGAGACACGCGACGTTTCCCAGCGCTCGAGTTAACCCCAAACAGGTATTATGCAGGACTACTCTTATTTTGGCCAACACACCGACTATCTCCTATTCACTGTTCGAAATCATATTTTTCAGTTTCCAGGCTGAGTAAAGATTTATTTTTTTATCCACGTGTCATCTCCTGTGCTGGGGTATGGAAGAATCTTACTACGTTTAAGTAAATTTAGGTAAAAATGTCCCTGGAGGTGACGGTGAGATGCGGTTGGTTTTAGTTTAGCGAGAGCTTTCCTGCGTAGATTGTAGACAGGTTAATTCTTCAGTGGAGGCTTCAGTCCAAGTACTCAAAAGCTGGAACGCAGACAAGATCTAGTGCAGTACTACCCGAGGACTTCTCATTCAATGCCCATCATATTCTGTCGGCTATGAACGAAGCTCACCGGCTGAGTTTCAAAACTAGTCCAGGTTTTATCGGAATCAGGTGTCCTTTGTAGGGATTTGTACTCAAACTTTCATAAAGCTGAAGAAATTGCTAAGTACGCTTGTACATGGAAAAGATTGCTGGGGTGAAGTTAACGTGGAGCCCGATCCCCTGTTAATTCAAGTTGAGCATGGACATTCTGAGACACCGGGAAAGCACCTATTTAGGCAATGTGTGCCTACTGAGTTGATCTAAGAAGAATGTATCATTATTTTCTTCCCTCAAAACACGAATGAAGCTGGCCACTAAACATTTCCAGCGTCCCATCTAAGGAGCATAGTTTGAATGATGCAAACAGTGAAAATCTGTAGGATTAATGTGCCAATGGCCTTTTCTGGACCGTGACTGAACGCGGTAGCTGGAAGGACTTCCTGACAAAAGGAGACATCCGATTGTCTGGAAATTAACTTGAGTTAAATTCCGTAGCAGTCAGCATCGTAACCTAACTAGGTTATCTTTGATACGGGAAGGCATGTTCAGAGGCTTTAAGTGATGTTTAATGTATTCCAGCAACAAGCGTACTCTGTATCGTTAAGTAAATTTTAGGACAGATGATTACTTTAGGAAAGCTGCAAACCGTTTTTGGCTGAACAGGATGTTTCTGACTGGTGCACCCATACAGTCCTTGAAAGTGCATTAAGGCTCGATGGCAGCACATAATTACGAGCATCCACTTTTTAATTATCGTACTTCCCCCAGAAATAATGCCCGGTTGTTACAAATCCCTATTAACACCATTATTTCGAAGAGGAACTCTGGAATTAAAAGCTGGAAAACGGTACGACAAAAACTTTCTCATTTGGCTTCTTCCCCTTAAGCCTACCATCGCAACGTTTTTAAGGTTTTCTTTTGCTTATATAATTTGCAAGACTTCGACTAAGAAAAAGCATGGGGACCTTCATGAATTCACCATTTTTGATAGATCTACCCAAAGCCTGAATAAGTTGATAATGGGGATTTACATCGTCACTTCGAAGAGGGAAGAAACGAAAGTCCCGAGATTTATGCGGATTGACTGATTTTAGTTCGGTGGGGACTGAAGCGTTTCGCTAAGAGATCACGCCTCGTCTTCCCATGCACTTGCAAAATCAATGGTGAGTGACAAGAACAGTGAACGAGACGACTGATTATTCCTTAACAATCAGAAGTGGGAAAGCATTTCGCTTATCCCTTCCGGTAAGCTACTGATTTTTGCGAATGGTCGGCCTGACGAGCTATCAAAGGAACCTCCCACTTTAGTTCGAAGTATATCGGCAGTAGTATATAATAACGGACGTCACTGATTGGACGATTATTTGATTTAACCATCCTCTCTCGCAATGGTCGACAAAGGAAGTCCAGCGATTCAAACAAAACAATGCTGCTGTACGCCACATCATTGGCCGCAGTACTCCGAATAGTATCAATCACTCCGTACAAAACTGAAGTTCTATTATATATAAGTAATAAGATGCATTTGTTGTCGTAAAACCTGTTGAAAGTAAACTTCACCCAGCCTCCTGAAATGTTTTATGGAAAAATCTTATCTGGTATTTAAACTTCTAAGGAATACGATCTTCACAAACTACGGCGTTCAGTTGAGGCGACCGCCCACTTCAACGGGAGTTTTATGAAAAATTTGCCAGTAAAGAGCCGCTAAAACATCCGGATAACTACCTTGATACAATCCAACCACGTTAGCTATGAGAGGTAGGTATGTCTCTTGTTACCTCAAAAGAGGGGTGGTTGAAACAGTCGCAGCATAGTAAACAACTATTTGACAGAAAAATCATACAGCTGTATAAAAATATTCTCCGAAAATGGTGTACATTAAGGAAAATCTGAAGTTTAAAGGGCATGCGATCACTTTCCTGCAGATTTCTTAATGTTTTACCTTTACTGGCCAGGTAGTCAGATGACTATAGCTTCCAAAGCTAGAAGTAGCGCACCCCAGGGTAGCCAAGATACCTTCAAAGTCTCAGTAAAAAGCTACCCCTAGATTAGGTCCCGACTTTAGAATCACCGAGCAGACAAACCCTCCAGTTTAAATTGCACATCCTATTCTCACAGTAAAAAGACAGGGTTTGTTGACTTCGCCTCCTTAAGTATACTCCAGAATCTAGTAGGTTCTTGGACTTTTATTAGAACATGACCGGTAGTCCGGTGAGGATAAGCAGGAGGTAGCGAGCTGAGAAAGTACTGTACAGAAGAACAGGTACGATTTGAATGCTCATTTCCGGCTTAGCTGCCGTTACTGGCGAATCAGGACCCAGACTCGGACCTGAAAGACTTGAAACTTGAAGCCGGAGGGCTACCACTGGGCGCCTTGTTGTTTCAAGCAGTCTTTTACCCGGACAAGACTGACAGATCAATCAGCTCCTCCGAAACCCCTAGTTTTTCCCTTGAGACGTTCGCATTCATAGGAGGACTGTAGGTGGCCTCGAATTTCAGGAACCAACTGGTCGTACGTTATGGAATAGTTATCTGTAGCCCCTACAATAAATTTCAGAAACCTGGTTGCTTGAAAAAACCTACGTTTAATTTCAGCTTTTGGTGAGGGCAGGAAGTGCGACCCCCCTGAGTGGTTGTTCGAAAATCTGTCTTTTTATCTTATCCAGGTAGGTGTGGTGTGACCCCAAGGCGCAACGGGACGAGTGAGTTCCGTAGCGCGATCGAAGTTTGGGCTAGAGTTTTAAAGTTCGGGTTAGGGACTTAAGACCTAGGGTTAGGGTTGCGGTTACGTTTGAGTTTTCTGTAGATGCTTAAGGATTAAGGGTTAGTGTTACCCATTACAGGCATGGTCAGGACTAGCGTTAGGGTTGTAGGTAGTCACAGTTTTCCCAAGGGGTTAAGTGTCATACTGTTTCTCGTCTCTAAAATCACAAAAACCACAGACCGAGGAGGCCTTTCAAATCATTTAAGTTTGCATTTTCAGCATCCTGTTAAAGGACAAAAGCGTCAGTTTAAAAACTCGGCAAGATGTGGTTGTGCAGCCGCACCTGATGGACACAATACTGTTAGGGTTTAGGGCTAGGGGTTATGGCAACTATTTATCAACCACTCAAAGTGCAACCGAGCATTCCAAATAGCTTCTCTTTTGCATACAACTACTTGGCCTCGTCGCCTTTGCGTTCCCTGGCCCCATCCGAAAAACCGCCCATTACCACCGGTCCCGTATTATAGGTGGCTAGGGTTCGTTTACGTCAGGTGCGGCTACATAACCACATCTGATCAAAAAATTCTACCGGAGTTAAGAATTACGTCCCATTACATACTGGACGCTAGGAAGGCCAAACGACTTCTACCACCGAGCTAGTCGGAAATAAATACGGAATGTTTCTTCTATGAATCTTCAATATCGAAGGACTTTTCAAAACGACGTAATCAAGCTCCAAAAACCTTTCGGGCATGTCAATTTCGGTGTGGACAGCTTCCAAAGTATACTTTCTCCTCTCTAGTCGCGTTCCACACATATTATCCTTTGTTTTCGGAACCCCAGGGTTCAAGACCAGACGAATAAGGTTTGTGCACGAGGAAAACGACCTCGTGGTCCACCGAAAAATTTATCGGGAATTTGGATTTAGGCGCAAGAGCGTTGACAGGTTGTAACAGCCGGCCACTGAGTTCGTTTTAAGTAACTCCCAACGTGACCAGATGGACAACTTTTAGCAGGAACCCTTCAGGATATCAAGCAGACGACGTATAACGTTCTACTCTTATTGAGGGATGTAGTTATGAGCATGACCCCTTCGGACAGTTTTGAGAGTTTGCATTCCTTCGACTGGGGAGGAGGTCAACACTTCAACTGCTGATCATTTCACGATTCGGGACTTGGGTAAAGTACAAGCACACCCCCGCACGTGGCCGGCGATGAGTGAGGAGAATTTGCTGAATTTTCCCGATTTGCTGTCGAAGAGGAACTTTTAAGCGAAATCGGTACTGCATCGTTTTCATGGTCAGACGGATCGCGGGGCATCCATTGAGAAGATTTCTGCCGAGATCGAAGTGGCTGCGTGCGACTTTTCGGGGGATAGGGCGTCCATGCGTGATAGTTACTGGAAATGGCGGTAGGGCATTTTTGTGTCATCTTCCACTGCTACCTCGACGACCGTCAAGTGACAGGCTTCAGAGGTCCTTCGCGCGGCGCGTTCTGGGTGTCGAGATAGTTAATTTTGAAGTTTGAAGACCCTGTCACACAATCTCTCGAACCGTTATTAGGTCGGCGATAGTTTTCCAGCTCTCAAAGGCACCGGAAATCACTCAAACCGCGACCACGGACCAACGATCTAGTAGGCTGGATGACTTTGTTACTTAATAAAAGCGGCTATCCAGGGCATAATTGTAATTAGCAAGAAAATGTCCAGTTGATATCAAGACCCAAAGTTGTGAAGTAGCATACCGTAGGTTTTTGCAGTGCTCCTGAGAGATGTCGTCCATACA